ATATAATAATAACTAATAATCAAGATATCAAGTGGAAGTGAAAATATTCTATAGTTAGGATCAATAAAGAAGTGAAAACATGCAAATACTTCATTTTTTTCATAATTTTTCCGGATCTAAAAACTAAATTTTGCTCATTTTAAGCAAAATCTTTCATACATTCTTCCATTCGTTCAAGTGCTTTAAGCAATTTGGGAACTTGAGTCGCATTAACAACCACATGATCATCTGATCACAGCAGTTGGGCTCTAACTAGATCTGTAGTAGATCAATATTTGGCCAGAGACCAGAGGGGCGTTAGAGCCCAGCCGAGGAGGCACCAGCCGGCCGTCGTTTGCTGCCCTGATGGAAACGAAGAGCCCGTCCACTCGTCTCTCCTCTGTTCTCCAGCAGATTGAGAATGGCTGCGTGAGCGGTTTATCTCCACGCTGAGGAGAAAATGAAACTACACGCAAAGCACATGTACGCAGACGCATTTCCATTTAAGTTTCAGTGGGTTTTTACCATCGATAACTCACGTGTTTCCGATTGGGATCAGACCTTCTTGTTCTTACAGGTTCTACTTGTAACAACACACACACACTCGTGACGTGACGGATGGCATTTTGTCAAAGGTTCAGCCGATCATCCGGACCTGACACCTCTTTCAACCCGGAGGAATGAGGCCTGCAGCTAATGAGCGCTGCCTGGACAGCAAGGATGAATGGATCGCTTAGAAAGTGATAAACCACGAGGCTTCAAGTGTTGTTACAGCACAAACAGGTACCCCACAATAAGCAGATTGTTCACCCAGGCCTCATCTTTCCCCCCCCCATGAACCACACTGACAGCTCGGCCTGTTCCAGTACGCTCGGCTCTCTGACAACCTGACTGGTAATTCAGTGCGTGCTGGAGCTCGTAACACCGGGGAAAGTTAAGTCCGAAATGGTCTTTTTATGCTTCCCATAAGACAGTAGTGGGGAAAAGCCCGGTTGCGGAAAGCTGGCTCTGCTTCTCGTTCGTGATAACGTTGAACAGAGGAGGAGGAGAGGGGAGACAGACGGACAGGGGGGGGGAGGCATTGGAGAGAGGGAGCGAAACAGTTTTTCTCTCCCTTGGGGGCGTCGCAGCACTATTCCACCAACCGTAGTGACAGAGAGTTTTATTTATCTCCGTGGCCCATCTGTGCAGTCGGTCTCAAATTCTCCCAGAGAAAGGTCTTTTGGATTATCAGCGCCGCCATTTTAATACAACTGCTACATCACAGAGTGGGTGCCAATGGCAGAGGGAGTCTGTCAGGCATGCAGAGTCCATCTTCCTCATACTTGAAATGGGTTCATCCAGAGTACACCTGCTGTAATAGGGACATTCCAAGAGGCGTGGAGAGTAAATTATCCAAATGACATAAAACTACGCTAACTCCTCAATGTCCTCTTCCTTCTGTTTGTTTTCCTCTTTTTTGTTGTCTTTTAGGTTGATTTGTTTTTGTGCGATTTTGCATCTTAAGCGCTCAAATGCTACGTTTGGGGGCAAAGCACGGGCCAATGCGTCGGGGCTCGTTGTTCAAGTTGTTTTTAGCATTCACCTGAAAATGGGAGGACGTTCCCTCCGAGATGCTCTGGGGAGACAAAAATCAAAGTGTCCCCTGAGTGGAGGGGTTCTGGGTAAATGCTCTGCGTTTCATCTCATTAACAAGATGCAGCAGGACACCGTGTGAGAGAGGTGACACATATCAGAGCTCCGTGTTTGCTGCAACCTGGATGCAGATCAGAGGGAGTGAACGGAGGAGGGGGGGGTGTGTGTGTGTGTGCCAAACAGCGCCGTGTTGTGGCGGCTGCGGCGCGTTGACTCGCTGACCTCCCGGTGACTCCGTCGTGAGCGTGGGCGGGGCTGGCGCTGAGAGCGGGTTGCCATGACAACACCTGCAGTGTACCGGCGCGATCGTTTATTTACCACTCAGGGGGCTGGCTAATGGTGGCATTCTGATAGGCCCATCGCTCACGTTCCCGACCGGAGGACGGATTGACAGCTACCCGGAGCCTGAAGCGAGGAGAAGGTGAGTCGAGGTTGGTTGGATGCGGCGGGGGAAGACAACGGGTGAGGCAGGCAGTGTCACTCCCGCCATCATTTACCACCTAAACAAAACACAGCTTTAATATCCCTCGCTTTTAGAAAACACACATTTTGTTGGAGAGGGGGGAGAGATGTTAAATTCTGAGAGATTCTGACTGCATGTCCTTTTCCTTTCTCTCTCTCTCTCTTTC